AAAAAAAAAAAAAAAAAAAAAAAAAAAAAAAGAAATTTATCTAAAAAGAATAAAAAAACTGTAAAACAATAACAATCAAAATAACAGTGAGAAGTAAGTAGCATAAAAGTATAACAGCAGTATTTTTGGAATGTTTTTAAGATAAGAAAATTCCGATCTTTCGAGAATTTTTTGAAATTTTTATCGTATTTTCTATAAAACACTTCCAAATTTCATCTTTTACTTTACAACTTTTCTTTATGTTACTGCCAAACACGTTTTGATAACCTTCACGAAGTTAGATACAAAACAGCACTGAACTTATCAGTATTCCACTGTAATTACTGTACAACGTTATATGAATTCAATGTAGGTGTCTGAAAACCATATGTCACACCGATACAGTGGTGATCGTATCGTTAATCATTGATAGTCCACTCATGGACCAGTGATAACAGCAATTCTATCAAAAAACGATAACCGCGACGGGAGATACGTGTTGCTGTTACTGCCGTTCGTTGAAAATTCTATTTGGATTGTATTGGAAGAAAAAAAATTGTCAAAAAAACCTTAATAATCGAATAACTTCTTCTTTGCTAACAAAAGATGCTTCGCAACTGCCGACGATGTCTTCGCATATACAACATCGCTGTCTTCATGTCTGTCTTCAGTATACATTCACTAAATCCCGATGAATCAACCCGAGGTTCTGAATATGCAAACTCTGGACATTTTTTCCCTATAAAGATAGACGGTAACAGACAGATTTTGATCACATTATTGTTCATAATTCTGTTAACCAAATCGGTGACAAAATGCGCATAATTTTAGATCTACTAAAAACTCTTGTCCGTTAGCATTGAACAGATGAATTATATGGAGGAAAAATGAATGAAACAAAATAAACCCTTTTCCTCCGCTGTTACACTCAGTACCACTCTACCGCCACCTGCACCTATACCGACCAAAGTTTCGACTGGTCAAATTTACTCACCTAGTATCAACTGATGCTAAAATGTAAAATCTATGCTATAAAATTCTACTCTCGATCACCGCCTATTAATGTCTGCTATCGTTAGTACAAGCAATTACTATAATTATTACGCTTATGAAAAAAATAATTTTAAAATTAAACGCAAAACAATTTAAGGACCAAAGACCAAACGTGAAAAAAAAACTTTGCTCTCACGACCAAATGATCTCTGAGCAGACAAGTTTTCCCCATTTTTACCCTAAGTGCTAAATCTCACCCAGTAATGACGCCATCAAAAATTAAATTTTTTCTCCCTTTTTTTTTTTTTTTTTGCTCTCTTTGTTTACAATATTCTCAATTAATTTACTTTTTAATACGTATGCAAAATAAAAAGGTAATATTTACAAAAAAAGGTAAAATTACATAAAGCGTATTCTTTTTTCCCCTGCAAATTATTTTTTAATACAAAAAAATTTCAATTTTTTTCAACTTGCTATAAATTATTGGTTTAAAAAGTGCAACATTAAGAAAGCTTTACAGCATTTATCAAATAGGAAATGACTGCCACGTTCACAAAGGCATCTGGACGGTGTTTGAGTCTGATCACAATACGTCGATTCACATGCCCTTTTGCACTGTTCATTAATCAAGCATCCTGTCTCGTTTGGTTTCAGTGCTGAAAGAAAAAAATCCTGCTTTACAACAGTACTGTTTATTCTGTTTACCGAAAAATACATTTACTAAAAAGAAAAAAAGCCGAATATTGCAGTTTATTTTCGGCAATCAGTACCAATAAAACAGTGTAATCAAAACAACCAAATTATTTACCTGGCATGCAGCAACCCATATTTTTGGTAGTTGACTGAAAACAGCTTAAGCCAAATTCACAATCCGAAGTGGTGAAACACAATGACGACGTTTTGGTATTTATGTCTGCAAATAATTTGTACTTTTTTTTTCCAGTTAATTATAATAATAATTTGAGCACAATTACTTCTTATTTCTTTCTGCTTTCTTTCCAAACTTTAATCTCTATGAAAAAAAAAAGTATCAGTCACTGTAAAAAGAGGTTTTTTAAAGCCAATCTTTTTGCAAAGAATTTTTACCATTCTCACATGAGAAATCGCTAAACGGATGTGATGTTTCTTCAAAAACAGTATGGTACCATGGCGAATCAATAATACCATTAATCTGTGTTAGACCGGTTAGCAGCACCAATAGGAGTTTCATTATGTGAACACCTAAACGACCAAATATAACCAAATGTAAGCTTATAAAAATAATTGTCAAATTCCGTACAAGTGACGTCAATTTTGCAACCCAGTAGATAAAACTATATACCTCAACAAAATTACAGGAAATACCTTCAAATATCTTCCCATATTTTTAAGTTATTTTCATTTAGTAATACTTCAAAAACAACCAGCTGAAATACAGCAGTTATATGTTTAGCTTTAGAAATGCTTATTGTGGTTACAGGTTAACCACTACTCAATAACATTGGTTAGCAACACTTGTAAAACTACAACTCTTTAAAATTCTTTATAAATCATACAAATAGTCAACAACTTTTTTTTTTTTTGCAAAAAAAAGTAACACTGATTTGCATAAATAATGCTGTTTTCGTCTTATTCATAGAAGTCAGCTACTCTTTAAACATCAAATCTTAGAAACTGTTGTTTGAATGGTTTCAGTTTTAATCTATCATAGCCTGTTGTTTAGGTGCTTTACGAACACATTTTCTTTATTAAAATCAAAGGTAACAAAAGTTCCTACATATACCATTATATACACTTGCAAGATTTTAAGTTTAACTTTAAAAAATCTAATTCAATAATTTGGTAGGTAATCATGCAATAACCCGGTAACCTGTGACTATAAATTGTTAGCCGAACGAACTTTTAACCAGTATCTAGCATTTTTAGAAACAAATTGCATTACGAAACAAATGATCAAACGTTTAAAGACTGGTAAGCAAAGCGCAACATAAATATATAGCACATATGGTTAACAATCTCTTCATCGAGAATATTCTTAGTCAAACGTGCTTATATCTTTCATTACAGCCTTATTCTTATAACGTTTTAATTCTCAGCAACTGAAATCTGATTATCAGTAAAATCGTTGACAATTCAAGAATCATATTACAATAATCATAACTAGATAGAGTTTCGTTAAACGATTAAAGTATGTCAAGAAGTTTATTTTTAAAAAAAAGCAGAATTGTTAGAGGAAACGGGGTTGCAGTCAACATTTATCTGCAATGTAAAAACTGCCGTTAAAGCGGATAGTTGAATTTTGCTGCTAACGACCGCTAACGATGACCTTAATTTGTATGACTGGTCAAACGGTAAATGTCATCGATGCTTTTAAAGAGACAATTTTGTTCTGAGGCACTTAGCCACTTCCAAGTTTACTTATAATAATTGTCGAAAACGACGATAAATTTTCGCTTACACAAGCGGTCATTCAAAAAAATCTATTGAACAAGAACATTGCTTCATTGTCATCATCAACAAATGTTCGTCTCTTATTTCCGGTTTGATTAGACGACTGCTACTTATGTTAACAACAATGACTGTAATCGTTGTGATCGTCTATCTCATTGAAGTGTATTTGAAGAGCTTCAAATAAAAAGAAAATTTTTTTATTAAAAAACAAAGGCAAAAACAACCAAAAATTTTTTCTTCTTTCTTTCCCATCCCTCTCGCCTCTTCCTAAATCTTACGCCCTAAACTCTCAAGATATTACCAAATAAAGGTATTTTTAAAAGACGGAAATTGCCATACAATGATGGTGTAAAAATTGAGTGCAAAACAAATAAATAAAAGCGCCAAAAATTGCATAAGCGGCAATACAACAACAACTGGATGTCCACTTTGGTCTGTTGTATACAACAAACACAGTTATGCTTCATATCGTCGTTACTCATCCATTAATGGCAGTAGGAAACTAACCAAAACGGTGTGTTCCAGACTTTCAGCTGATTCCAATGATAATAATTTTCACAATAATAATAGTAGTGGTAATAATGATGACTAAAAATTTGTATCCAATCGTCTTTTCTACATAATTTTGTTGCCAAAATAAAGTTTCATACGGTTAAAGAATAGTACAGTTTATCCGTTTAGTCAATAATGTAACTAATTTTTCCAATTTATTTTTCTACTGATTATTCGTACCAGTTACAAATGATTATAAATAAAAAAAAGTATTGATAGCTTACAAAATGGCAGTTATATATTGATCAATGAATTTATTGCTAGATATCTTGTTTGAAAGCTGCCGATATTAGTGAATTTATCAACTGCATCATCTTTTCAGTAAAACCGCTTTTTCTTTTGGTGCTCTGTACCTGTATGGTTCTGTATGGTTCTTTCTAAAAGATTAAAAATCTTTAGTAGCAACAGTTTCCCTGAATTACTGACGAGTATAATTGCTGCTCAGCAATCGCTAGAGGCAGATAATATAAGGCAGATGAATTAGATTCTCAATGTAAGAAACTTTTTTAACTGACACTTCAGAACCTCTAATTGAATCTATAAATTATTGAAACTTTATAAAAAGCTACTGCCTTCGACAGGACATACTCAGGCTAAACCACTGGTTTTCCAAAATCAACAGCATTTATTGATCAGCATTCTTCATTCATCTAACTGCTCAAAAAGTTCAAAAACAGTTTCCTAGAAACACTTACAAAGAAAAATATACACCACTGTTTTTTCTTTTTTGCAGTAGCATTTATGCATCACTTGCGAAATCTCAAAAGCACTGATTGTTCGGTAGACTTTACATATTCCGTTAACCTCCATTACTGTAAATTAGTGTAAAATGAAGCAAAACATAAGCCAAATTTTAAAGAATTACGACATAGATCTGTTGTCAAGAGCACCAGTTCCTTTCCCAGTGACCAGTTCTCTCTACTTTGACCGTCAGCACGAATATCATTATTGTTTTTAAGGTCATAACAATGTTATTTCAGCTCCACTGAAGTCTTCTACATCGTTGAGTTTAAACTAAGATCCAAATGGAAGAAACAACTGATCTCAGTCATGAATAACACCAACTAACCAGTCGCAACTAAAATGCAAAAATCTGAATCACTTGGAACAAAATTAGTGAATATGCGCTAAGTTTGCTCCGGAACGTCTATCAGGCACCTGTCAGATGCGCATTAGCCTTTATGACGGATATCCAATGCATCAATGCCAAAAAAATGCTGAAGTTTGGGAAATTAACATAGATAACCGAATTCAAAGATGACAGCATAACTGTTCCTGCAAGATGCTTTCTTATTTCTTCTTTTTTTTTTTCCTACAGTGATGAAAGGTACTAACAATAATAGCTAATGACAAAAACATTTTTTATTCCAAAAAATATAAAATACAAATTTCACGACCATAAATGGAACATATGCAGAATTGCATCCCGACGGCTATAACAAGAAGATCACAGATTCCAAAATAACATTATAAGATACATATCATACAGATATTATCGCTGAAAAGATTGATAAAAACTTCAAGTAACATCTTTTGTTCCAGCAGATATACAAGTTTTATCACTGATATGCGCTGCCAATAAACACTTATTTCCAGTTTTCACAAGAAGATAAAAATAAATGGCAACAAAAATGATAGGTCAATATAAAGAAAAAATATTTTAGAAAAAAAAAATAAAATAAGTGAATTCTTACACTTAAAAAAACATTAGCTTATAAAGCAAAAAAGAATAGACAAAAAATTTAAACAGCCATATATGAACAAAATAACTATGTTGAATACCAAAAATTTAAAGCACAGATAACCATGAGAGAGCTGCCTAATAGGTCAAACACTGCAGATTGAGTAAACTCAACCATATCCAGCTTAGGTTCAGTTGCTGTTGACCGATAACTGAACTGTGTCTATGGCATTTCATTCCTATTCATAAGCAACAGCAATAAAATAAAACACCTTAACATTCCAAAAAGAAAAAACCTTTCCATAAAAAACATAGATGTTATTTCCTCTTTTGACTATTAATTACAATAAGACAGCAAATGAAGTGTAACTTACCAATAATAAGGAAAACAATTTTGAAACATTAGATGACAGATTAACACAAAAGAAGCAACAAGAAAAACTACACAAGAACACGATGTACAACAGCAAAAAGTAAAAAATTTAACAGAACAGATATATCAAAAACTTTTGTTTCTTCTTCTCTGCTTTTTTCCTCATCTACAAATAAAAAAAAAGAGACAAACGAAAATTCCAGTATAAACCATTCATACCTCCACCACAGTATACAGCTAACATAAATAAAACTTTCATACGCAAACCTAACCCGCTTCATGAAGAATAAACAAGCACAATTGAAAACAACAAACAACGGAAAGAAAAAAACCCGAAGCTTACATGCAGAGCTATAAAGACCCTGAAAAAAATTAGTATAAATTTATATTGTAACGCCTACGATTAAAATAAAAAGAAAGGAAAAAAAAAAATATTACGATTTGTAATCAAAAGTCGTTACTACACATTACTTGAAATTGATTAATCGTGATATGAGCTACCCAGAAAAAAGCATCAATCTCAAAAATTATACATTTATATATATACGTATATTTGTGTATAAAAAATCATCCAAAAAAAGAAAAAATCAGCTTGTATCGAAACTGACTTTCCAGTCAAGAAAAAACAATAGAGAATTATTTAGCCCGAAAGAGCAATGCACTAAATTTTCAAGATGGCCATACGAAAGGATGAGGTAAAAAATTCCGTTGCGCGCTGAGAACTGCGTTAAGCCACTTAATACGAGACAAATTATCCCGAAATGCTACGCAATACCCGATGTACTTGGACTTGTATTTAAAGTTCTTCTTGAACTGAAAAAATGTTAACGTGAACGGATATGGAGGCTTCCGACTAGCTTCATGTCCATTGTACCAAATAACGTCATCAACATGCCAATCAGTGACTGGCTTGTAAGACTGAAAAAGAAATCTAAAGTGAGCACAGAAAAATTCAACATTTGGTAGGTGTTTCCTTCTTAATAAAAGTTTTTTTGGTTTGAAAAGAAATAAAAAAGCAAGAATTAAAAACTAACTTTGTTGCAATAGACAATAGTTTTGCCTGTCTCGAGTTTCAAATGACATGTGCTAAATGACTTTGAACCAGGTTCAGCTATCTTTGCGTCATCTGCGAACGCATTTAGGTTCTGAAACAAAAATAAATAGTCTTACGACGACACCTAAATCGTTGCCTAATTTATTCTTAGTTAAAAACAGTTTAAAATATTCAACAAGTCCCCAAAAGGCTTTGATAAATATTTGCGCTATCAACCGACACATCCATTTGAATGTCTAGAGTATAAAAAGTTAATTCATAACAAAAAAAAAATAATAATTATATAAAAGTCATTTCTTTCCTTAAAACACTAGTTACAACCGATTGCAGTTTGGTTCCATTTTAGTAGCTATGTAGAACCAGTTACATTATAACTACCATCAACTGTTACTAATAATCATCATAACAATACATTTAACATTGAAAAAATTTACTTCAAAGGAAAAAGGCATAAAATCACGCTTGAAAATGAGATAACAGTCTGAAGGATCCCAGTCCAGCCATCGATCAGCAGCCATACTACTTATCTTCTCCTTCCAGCCCACCCGTCGCTCTAACTGACCAGTCTTTACAACCTTTAAAATTTATTAAATAAAAAGTTTTAGTTATTCAAAAAGCATAATTTTGGAATATAACGCTAAACTAAAATAAAACTTTAGGAAAATTAGAAAACCTAGATTACAAGAAATAATCACCTCAAAAAGTGCATACATTGTCCCACAACCTTCGTCAGAAAAACTAGGTCTACCCCGAGCCGCTTCGCATACCTAAATTTAAGTCGAATAGCGAAAGAAACTAATCAAAGCCTGCAGAAGAAGTGCTGTGTAAACCGAATTTTGTGAAATATCAAAACAAAACCTTAAAAAATATGAATCTACCTGTTCTGCTGTTGAAGATGACTGAACGTTAAACGTATGACTATCTTTCTCCATAAGATGTACAGGAACCAAAAAACCTTCAGCCCTTGCCTATAAAACAGTTCGGTTGAAAAAAGAAAATAGAAAATTTAGGTTTAGCATAGGTTTAACAGATTTCCCTATAAATACCTGAGAAGAATTTGCTTTGGTTTGCAAAATACCCATCTGTGATCTAGCATGCATTTCCCGCAAAGGAACACGAAACACTTTGGCGTAGTTAACCAAAAGATCTTTAATTATATTAACGTGTTGGACTGTTTTATCGTATGATCGGAACTTCTCTTCACTGTCGGTCTAAAATCTTGGCGTTCAATTTTAACAGTATTAATAAGGTAAGTTAAGAAAGACTTTCAAGGTAAGGGTTGAAAACAATGTTCGCCAGAAACCTGATTTACACAGCAGAGTGTAGGACCAAAGACTTTAGCAATGTTTTCAACTGTTGCACGATTTGAAGTCGAATTTTCCGCAACATCTCTCAAATGACTTAGAACTCGGCGCAGTGTTTGCAGTCGTACACGAGACAAACCCATAAGAACTTCATGATAATTATCAGATTTATCGACGCCTCAAAAGTCATTAAAAAAGTTTAAAGTCATAAGTATAACATAAAAAATTTATTTGCATTAACAAATGAGTTATTAGTATTCCCCGTAACTAGCTGCCGTACATCCTAATAATATAAATTATAAAACCTGATTTTTCATGCACAGCCAAAAGTTTTTCTTGAACATATTCTGGTATTAAAGGTGATTCTAACTGACGAAAGAAGTTTCTGAGAACGTCAGCAACAACATTTACCATGTCCTCACTGCCAGGAGTTATATGAACACTGAATGGATCTAAAAAAGATACTTGGAAGTGAAAAAACCGTGAGATACAAGTTACAGAAATGATTACAAAAATAACCTCTTTGCAGGTCTTGCATCAGTGATCGAGCCTCACTGGCAGTACCGTTACGTCTATATAGGCCAACTTGGAATAGTCCGTACGTGGAGATAAATTTTATACATCTTAAAAAACTGCTTAAATTTCACAAATATTAAACGAATTAGCAGATAGAGCGCGATAATGTTCCCACTGTTATCATGCTTTTTTAATCACAATGATTTGAAGCATTGTTAATAAATGAAAATTACTTGTCGACAATCACAGGAACGTCATCTGCAGTAAGTTTATAATCTTCCAATTTATTACTTTTCCTCTCCATCTCATAGCTCAAAAGTCCTGCCCAGAGACTAGTAATCACATCATTATCTGCTTGAACATATAGAGAGCTAAAAGAAAGTACTTTGTTTTAGCTACAAATTGCTACGTCATTGAAGAGATAAAAATGAAAACAATATTATAAAGATCGTACCATCCTTCCAAAGTCAATAAAAATGGTCCTTTCTGTAGTCCCGCCACAGAAGCACACCAATCCACCTTCGCAACTTCGTTCTTCATTGAAATAAATTTCCTAACATCGAGTTCAAAAAGCATCGTACTGTTTTCTAATGCGTAAAAAAGTTTTCGCTAAAAACAATGCATAAGTTGCAAAAATCTAAAATAATAAAAAAAAAGAAGAAATGAGTACAAGACGCAAATAAAACCTGCTTTGCCAGAAAAATAAAAATGCAAAAAAAAACCATTACTTCAAGATGATCTTTTCGTCAACTTGTAGTTTTTTATTTGATTGAAACTGTTGAAAAAATTTAATCAATACGAATTACGTTAAAGTTGTATTTCACAATCTTCGCTGTAGCATTTTTCACCCTCCACATCATTTTGACTAGCTCTATATCCCATACCTACACATTCTTTAAAATTAAATATTTTTTAGTAGTTCTTTACATGTTATTGACCTATTTTCAAATTCTTGTTTTAAAATATGCGAAGACAACAGAATGGAAGATACTTGATCAAGATACATCCATCCTTCGGACCAAGGACAAGTCACTCCTTGGCGAATCCAAACAAAGCCACCTGCATCAATGTTACCAACACTGTGGCTAAGTGTGTCGTGTTTCGGCATAAAACACTGAAAGTCCTTGCCATCAGAAGAAAATAACGAGGAAAGCAAGCATAACAGTATCCTATCCAAAAATATTAGCAAAAATATTTGGAAGCGGTGGGTGTTTTCTTAAAGCAGAAGAAAAATGTTTCAACAGATTTCTATACCCTTTGAAGTTTTTAGGTTATTAATCAAACGATCGAAGCAGTACCAAATTATGTCGATTTTATCCGTATAAGATTGAAAGTGCTCCTTGATTAAAAAAATATGCTGAAAGCAGTTACCTTTGCAATCAAAAACAGCCAAGGCTCTGGACTCTCAGATTCTATAACCAGATGATTCCAGTGCAATGAAGTCGAATTTTCCTTTATGTATAAGTCAATCTTATTTCTATTTTTAGGATTTCGACCAATATAGACAGCATTTTTAAGATCATAGGGCCCCAAGACAACGCCTGCTTCCTGAATTTAGGCAAAAAATTTGGCAAATTTTTTGAAACATCTGCATTTATTGGAACAGATAATTAGAGGTATATAGACTAAAACTCAAAACTAAACTCTAGAAGTCCAGTGCAAAATAAATTTTTTTCTATAAATTATTAGTTTTAAAGAAAAGCCCACAGAATAATGTGCAGTACCGCACCAACTATTTACCTCTTCATCGCTTTTAAAAAATTGGAGCTTATTGGAACGTAAAACAGCCCATAATTTACCACGATCCTTTTTATGCGCAGTTAAACGAACATATCCAGAAAAACAGACAGATTCTCCATCAATTGAAGCCGACCTCTCATTTTCTACTGCACTCTCTGATTCAGCCAAAGACGATTTTTTTGAGTCCTTGTCGAGGTTATCTGCGTCAACATAGAATTTTGACGGAGATGGGGATTCCCTATAAATACCAAGGAAAAAAGTCGCATTTTCTGAACAGAAAGGTGACTAAACACACGACGAAAAAAAAGAAAAAAGACTTCAGATTAACTCACCTTTTAGTGATATACGGTGGCAAACTTTCAACAAGTCTTCTGTACTCTTCCAAACTAATATATCGAGGATTCCAGATTCCATATTCACTGGTATCTGTCAGCAACAAATCCTTGTTTTCATCCACTAAAGTAACTTTTTTGGTAAAAGAATAAATGAAATAATAACAATAATAATTTGTTTTCAATTACCGTCAGGACTACTAGGCTGTTGATCAAAAAATATGTCCATTTGACTACTGGATTCTTTCTTATACGGTGGATTCCGCAGTCCGTCAAGCGCATCGTCGTCAGTCAGGCGAGGTAACATCCCCAAATTTGAGGTATCATCGCCAAAATCAATTAGATTAACGGACTGTCTAACACTCGAATTTGTCGATGATTCCGATTGCAGTTCGGAGAACAATGGTTCACGGTCAACAATAAGTGAGTGATTTGACTCTACAGAAAAAGAATTTTCTCAGCTTAAAACGAAATACAAACACGTAACACGTAACACAAAAATTCAGAAAATTTAAAACAATGTGCACGGTGAACAAACTGTGATCTTTAAAGGACTATTCACAGCAGTTCTTGCAGTCAAAACAAGCAGAGGAAGGACGCAGTACTTGACCGCTTCTTCTAGAACTTCAGAATCATGGTTGTGAAAATAGTGAAAAATAAGGGACAAAAAGTATGCATCAGAGACAATTACCTGTTCGTTGAACATCGTCTCGTTGCGAAAAACCAAATTCCGATTCATCTTTCCCCGTCCTGCTTACCAAAGAGTAACCGTTTTCATTAACTATGCTCTCTATAAATTATCATTTTACGAAATTGAACAATTGCAGCAGCTAAAAACCTGAAAGTTTCCATTCATAACTCTTCCCGCCTCATTAAGAGCTACCAACCTCAATTTCCTTATGTCCTGTCATTGATGACTGCTACAAATTTTGCTTTGTTACTATATACATAAATATATATATGCCTGTGTATGCAAGAAAATGGTAGCTGTTCCTTAAAAATAGACTGAACAAAGAAATAAATTTGAATAAGGGATACGTGGAACGAAACATTATACATATTATGTGATAAAGGTCTCATATACCTTCTTCGACTGTACTCGGCTTGGGGGACGGCGATTTCGTTAAAGTGGACGGCGAAATAGTTCGTCGTGCAGGAACAAGGGGCCGTACTGATGGATAACAGTTATCATCCAATTTTTTGATGTTTAGCAATGAATTATTATCAAGAACTGGTGGCTCAGTTACTGGTGAAATTTTTGGTTGTAATTCATTGGACCTTCGATTTTGGCAAATAGACTGCGGCTTAGCAGTGGGATTTGCATATAATGATGAAAGACGTTCTGGCTTCTTTGGTATTAGAGGAGGTGCTAGTGCTGTTGGACAGTCAGCTGTCACTGATACAGAAGCTTCTACAGATGTACTTGGTACACTATCACAGTAAGCTCCAGTAGTAATAGCTGTTGTAGTAGTACTAGTTGTTGTTGCAGTTGCTGTTGTTGCTAATTCCGGATTACAACTGGAACTGGTTGGAAAATGTCGTTCTGGTACCGGTGGTTTATACTGATTACATTTGTTAAGGAAAACTCTTGGAGCTGGAGTTGGCCGTTCCATATTTATTACTGCTTTAAGCGACTATGAATGATATATACAACAACATTATCATACCTTAAATATATCCATTTAAATTTATCTAATAGAAATTTGAATAAAAATTAATTGTACGAACAACAAAAAAAAAAAAAAGTGAGAACAAAAATCATGACGAATATGAAATGACTGATTGATAATATGTGGTAGTAGACCGATACAAAAAAAAAAAAAACGAAAAAATTTACCAAAAAACTACAGACCGATACAACAAAATATAATTGTAATGTTTCGCTTAACGTTATTTAATGAAAAAAAAAATCAAAAAAAGGGTTTAAATTTGCAAACAAAAAAAAAAAAAAAACTGAGTGCTTTCAACTGATATCACTATACATCTGCAGTATTGGCGGAAATAAACGGTATATAGATAGCAGAATAAATATATTTATAAAAACATCGAATTAGAAGCACCTGATATGTATAAAAAACTATCTGTTTCAATCAATTTAACATCTACGTCAGTCTGCAGTTAAACAGCGGTAAACGATAAAACGGGATATTCAAATACTAATGACTACCTATCCTTAGTTTGGTTTATACTCTCAATAAGTATACCGTAGTAATTAAACAGCTAGAAATATTATTATAAATAGTTGTGAATAAAAAGAAACGGGAAACAACTATTTTTTTCCTCACCTTTTTCTTTCCCTTCCGTTCTCTTTCAACCTCTTTTATTATCTTTTTATGTCCTTCCAAGAACGGTTTTCAGGAAAAAAAAAGATGACGGTGTAAAATGTGCAAAATTTTCGTTGTCCCTGAACTGAGTAGTGACTGGTGACTGGCATGGAACCACTGAACAACATAAATAACCGACAACAATTAACAATGAGCACATGCGTAATCAAGCAAAAGAAAAAAAAAAAGGCAAAAGAACCCAAATGATATTATGAGTCATAGCGAAGGAAGGAAAAGAGCAAAAAAGCAAAAAATAACAGTAAAAAATAATGGAAAAATTTAAACATTGTCAAAGAGTAAAAATAGCCTAACTCATTCTGTTTTCTTAATTAATCACCATTAGTACGAGACGAAATAAGGTGAAATAAAAGAATTGCGCACCTTTTTTTTTGTTCTTTTTTTTTTTCAACCTCATCGATAGCGCTATCTGTCTCAGAAGCAAAAATTCATATGTCATGTACAAAAGAAAGAATAGAAAAACGAACAAAGAAACAGCAGTCTAAAACACCTATTCAACTACATAATTTATCAGACAAATTCTTCTTTCCTTCCCTTGTCGTTCATTTCCTTTCTTTCCCTTTCTTTTCTTTTTTTTTTTCGTTCAAAACAAATATCACCGGCTGATACAGTGAACCACACCAATATACCATAACAGTGGTCACTGAATATCTGTTCAGTTACCTGCTGCATGAAATATTCAGCAGATCCTATCATCGAATTAAACAGCTTAAGAATTTCTACTTCTATATCATCAACACAAGTATATTCATTTACTCAAAATCGCTGGAAAGCAAACAACGATAAACAAACCTAACAACTAAATTGAGATTCTGTAATAATATAACCGCTAGTATCAAACTGTTCTTCAAGTTTTGACAAGCATATAGTCAAATTGAACAGAAAAACATGAACAATTTAAATGCTGCTAAAGTTTGTCTGAAACCTTCGTTTATTCAATTTCCATCATCTCATTGATTTTCTCTCTAACAAAAAAATAGCACAAACTTTCTTCCTTCATTCACCGTTAACCAATCTCAAGGTAAATATTTCAACGGAAGAAAATAGATTTCGTAAAATACCGGTTGCGCAGATTACCAATCCGAGAGAATACCTTTTCATTGCTTTTTTTCTTCTCCCTTACTCTTTTGAAATTTGAAAATTTACCCTTCTGCATGAACAGTACGATGAATAAACTCATCCATATCCATACGAACCATTATGTCAGTGACAGGAAAAAAAAAGACGGTAAACTATAGAAGTAAAAGATGTGAAAAGTGTATACCTGTCGAAAAAGATAACCATTACAATGAATCATTTGAAACACGGTTAAAAAAGCTTTGTTCTAACCGTTAAATAACATTGGGTTTTTTGCAATCAATTAGGCTAAAAGAACCACTTATGACTACCCATTAGAAAATAAACGCTTAGCAGTAAGGACAACAAATAAAAGCCTGACCGATGTAAAGTATAAAATTATATCGTAAATTCTCGAACTAGATATTTTTTTGAAAGACCAAATTTACTTGCATGGCTGCCGGTCACAAAAACAGTATCTCACTAAGCCACTAAACAACTCTTGAAACGTCCCGTAGTCTTCGTAATCTAACAAGTACATGCTATGGGTGTTGATTATTAAAACTCCAAAAACGCTTGACTGAAAAAAACCTGAAAAAAAAAGATATCAAATGTGAACAAATGCCAGTAACAGTTTTCAAAGTTTCAGCACAACTACACTAAGAATACTCATGATCCATATCTTAACAGTTCCAGCAGACATCTAGCATGGCACTTTAGTTCTGTTTAAAGATTGATAATTCAGTTAAGCTGACTAGCTGAACATCTTTGATTTTCCAATATTATATATCTCAACGAGTATCACATACTTGATCTTTAATTTAAGAGCCTACTCGAGTAAGAATAAGTTCCGAAAAGAGGTTACAGCTCAAAACAACAAACAGTTTAACTGTTTAACTGTTGGTTTAACCAAGTTTTCAGTCCTACTGTTCAGAGTAATC